CAACGGGTGCCAAAGGAGAGTCCAAAATAAAAAAAGAAATAGTCTCGGTGTGGTTGCCAGATGTAATCAGTGTGATGTCTTCGGTGGTGTGAGAAATGGTGGGAAGTTTCTGACCGTTTAATGCATGAACAGAAATCTGCTGGTTGAGAGGTTGGAGGGGAATCTGAAATGTATGTGCAAAATTATAGTCCATAAAATTACCTTCCGCCCCGGAGTCCAACAGTGCAAAACAATCGTGCTGGTGAACTGACCATCTTAATCTAACCGGGAGGAGTGTGGAGGTAGATGTAGTCGATGAGGTCTTCCTGGCGGAGATCCCACCCGATAGTAGCCTCAAGTTTACTATCGGGCTTGGCCTTTTACCGGGCAGTTGTAAGCATAATGTCCCGCTCCTCCACAATACAGGCAGAGGCCCTGGGACCTCCGCCTCTCCCTCTCCTCCCGGGAAAGCCGAGCTCGACCCACCTGCATGGGCTCGGGATCGAAGAGGGGACTGACCACGTCCCTGCCGCTGGATCTGGGAACGTCGACTCCTCCGAAGGTACGGGTGGACGTGACTCGGCGCTCGACCCTGGATAGCCGAGCGTCCACCCGCAGAGCAAGATCTATCAGTCCGTTCAGTGTGGTAGGAAGATCCAGGGCGTAGATCTCTCTCTGGACGTGGTCAGCCAACCCATGCAGGAACATATCCCACTGCGCCTCCTCGTTCCAGCCGCACTCCGCCGCCAAAGTCCGGAATTCTATGGAAAAGTCTGAAACCGATCTTTCTCCTTGACGTAATTCCGTTAATGTTCTGGCTGCTTCTCTTCCCGAGACCGCCCGGTCAAAAACCTTCTTCATCTCGTCGGAGAGGGTCTGGAACGAGTTGCAGCATGAATTTTGATTCTCCCACACCGCCGTCCCCCAGAGCGCTGCTTTACCTGTCAGCAATGTTAGTACAAACGCCACTTTAGCCTGTTCAGTCTCGAATGTGCGTGGTTGCAGAGCGAAATGCATCGAGCAACGGGTCAGAAATGCTCTACAAAAGGCCGGTTCGCCAGAATAGAGTTCCGGTACCGGCAAGCGGGGCTCCGACGTCACGGTTCTCTCTGGAAGTGTGGGGGGAACGGTCGGTGTGGGCGGCGCAGTGGGAACCTGAAGCCGTTGGATATGCTGGGTGAGCTCGGACACCTGCGTCACCAAGGCTTGCACTGCGCGACCTGTATCGCTGATCTCTTTCTGCTGGGCATCCATTCTCCTGGTGCTGTGATGAATAAATTCCTCCATCGATCTCTGAGGCGAACTCGCTGCTTCCTTCCTTACGGTCAGATCGTTCTGTCACGGGGTGTAAACGAACAACAGGAAGCAATAGCAAGTTGACAATATTTATTGGCGTCTCACACACGCTCTCACAGAGTCGGCAGTGCAAACAGGTGGAACAGTGACACAGGGACAAGATGGTCAGAATCCGTGGTGAAGTGAAGTGATGACACGGTGAAGAGACGAACGAAAGTAGTTATAATAGGCTACCTTGTGTCAAAATGATTTATGGCTTTTTTGATTGACAGGTGGGCGGGGCTGACCTTTGCCCTTCCGGATTTGCTCTTTGAAGTAGTCATAAAGCTTTGACCTTTGACATACCGTGTCTGGGATATCGATTAACCTTTGACCTATCGATCAATCAAATGGACAGGTGGTGTTGACCCGTTGACCTTTTGCGTTCCATCTCAGGAATATCGATTAACCTATGACCTTTCTAATCCAAAAAACATGTGTGTGTGTGAACATGTGTGGTTTGACCGGATGACCTTTTTTAATCCAAAAAACATGTGTGTGAACATGTATGGTTTTGTCCTCTTAGTGACCCCAGGAAGCGATCGATCAAAATGGACAGGTTGACCCCGGTTGTCTGGTTTTATCATTGATGTAGCCCCCTCCCATACCAGAAAAGCCGTCTATAAAATGGGTGGTCTCTGTTCTACAGAATTCACAGAGGGAAACATGAGTTACATGACTATGGCCGCTTTATCCTTACCTAAAACCCCCGAGATCGATCTGAGTAGCATGATGAGGGATAATTTTCTAATATAGCCCGTATCACAATAGGATCTGTAAAATAAAAGCGGCTTACTTGAGTGCTGATGATTCTCTCAGAGGCCTTCGGCCCTGTGACAGTCGGGGGTGTGAGGCTATGAGATGGTCAAACATTCCTTCACCCAGAGAGAAAAAATCTTACACAAGCTAAAAAATGAAACCGTGTTTTATAGATTATAAGGAAAAAACATTTAGATTTAAATGTGAAAAAGCATCTTACTTTATTTTCATCAAGATGTGAAAAACCTCTCTCCCTCTCAACAGCAGCATCCGTGAGCATGTGTGTGTGTGTGTATCTGTGTGTCTGTAACAGCATTACATTCCTGCATCCTGTGCTGAAACAGTTAGAATAAAGTTCAAACTTTTTCTCACTATCTAAGTTAAACCATGGATAATTTAAAAGAATATCAATAAAATGCCTTATCATTCATTGTAAAATAAAACAATATGTTTTATAGATTATAAGTTGACTAAGAGTCTATCAAAAATAAAACCATCTTACTTTTTCCAGCTGGTCGACAAAGTACTTCCTAAGATGTCCATACAATTCATGGATGGTTTACAAAAGATGAGTTTAAAGTTGTGAAGATCTCCCTGTGATTCTCTCCCCCATGCATGGCCAGAGTAGTGTGTGTGTGTGTGTGTGTGTGTGTGTGTGTGTCTCTGTGTCATAAATGGCAATAAATGACTTTAGACCTCTCTGAATCCTCTAAGTCAGAGGGACCCTCTCACACTTATTTTCTGTGGGTGTGTGTGTGTGTGACAGCATTACTTTCCTGTATCCTGCTGAGACTGAGAATAAAATTATTGCACTTTCCCACAACCTGTTTCACTTAAAAGTAAAATTCAGGATGTTGAAAAACAATTCTCTCTCATTCACCTTTTGCCAACACCATCTGTATGTGTTTGTTCAGCCGAGAGATACAACACTTACAGCATCCATTGCAACTACAGTAGCAATAAAACTTCTACCTTTTTTCCCACTAGCTAAAAGGTAAAACCATAGTTAATTTAAAATCAATATCAATAAAATGCTTTATCATTCATTGTAAATAAAACAACATGTTTTATAGATTATAAGTTGACTAACAGTCTATCAAAAATAAAACCATCTTACTTTCCCCCAGCCGGTTAAATTACTTTACCAGATTTCTCACCCCTTAGCAGATTAGGCTTATCCTGTACACTGGGGGTGGGTGTCAAAGTTCACACCACCCTACCTCGGACGCAATATCTAATCTAAAACCCATGTGTTTAGCGAAAATACAAAATAACTACTCTATTCGTTGAAATGATTTAATTAAAACCATCGTGCTCAAATCGTTATCATCTTCATACGCTAGATAAACTATGAAAAAGAGCGGTGTCGCTTTTTTTCATACGTAATCTAACATCGGTGCTGGGGGGACATTTCATTTCCAATCCAATAATACCATCTAGCGGAGAGACAGAGTATTACACTGACCATTTGTTTTCTCGGGAGTGTGATATAAATAGGCCTAAACCCATTTGATCATCATTTCAAATCTAAACGCGGTCCAACGAAAGCCTCTCTTCACAGGACGAGGAAAAACATTTTTTTCTACAAGACTTTCTCCAAAACCTCAACAAAATGGATAATAGTGAGTAAAAACAATTCTTTATTTCCTACAATGCTTTGTTTATATGTGTAGAAAGCTTATACGTGTAGAATATCAATCAATGGTCTTTGATGCTTTAAATCTTTATTTTCCTACAATGTTTTGTTTATATGTGTAGAAAGCTTATACGTGTACAATATCAATCAATCGTCTTTGATGTTTTCTCTAGTTTAAATTCCTCTGGTTATTCGATCTTATTCTTAAATCTGAAACATTCATATATCACAGTTTTACTATTTTATCTTGATTATCGACGGCATGAACATAAGACCTAGACTGATTGTAGCCTACCGTTAAAACGATTGAAAGTATAATTAATTATCTATTAATTTTAAAAACATTTTAAGCTTATGATGTTTTTATAATTAAAAACTATTTAAAAGTTTAAATAACTCTAGCTCTATCTTGTAGATAAGGCTTATCTACCCTGTACAATTAAACTATTTTCAAGTTTCATTTATTTGCTTATCATTATCGTACAATGTAGCTCGTAAATACTTTTATTATGGTTTTATTTTGAAAAGCGCGCTTTCTCTGCTCGGTCACGTGTCATCACAACATACCTTAGCCTAGCTTCGATGGCTTAGCTTAGCCCGCTTAGCCTTGACCATACCACGCTGTTTTCTCTGAAAATCCAATCGAACACTACATCGATGATCCCAGCGACATTTTCACAATCGTATGTTTATATGTTTTTGAAAAGTCAATACCGTTTTAATGAACATTATTTCACACTTTATTTAGAAACGTGCGAGGTTGAGTTTGACTGCACGTTCGTGATGGTCGCCCCCCAACGGCCCGTAGTAGATATGACTTCCGTTTGCAGATAAATACCGACCTCTTGAATGCCGCCCTCTTGCGTTTCTAGGTAACATGACATGCACCCCGTAGATAAATGCTCCCTCTCGCGTTCATTAGTAAAAACAACATGCGGTCTCCATTTCTCTAATTCTATACGACAAATTGTTTTCTTCTATTGCCACATAAATTGTTTTATTCTATTTTATGTTACATATATTGTTTTATTCTATTTTATGTCACATAAATTGTTTTATTCTATTTTATGTCACATAAATGTTATTCATTTTAATCATGTCTTTTATGTTTTTCTCCTCTCTGTGTGTGTGTGTGTGTGTGTGTGTGTGTGGGTGTGGGTGTGGGTGTGTGTGTGTGTGTGTGTGTGTGTGTGTGTGTTGGTACGTCATCTAACCTTCTCATAAAAACTCTCACCAAAGCTGTCTAATCCATAACAGTCTTTTTACTTCAAAGGTTCGGACGTGCAGCTGATTAATTTTGAGACCTTTGACACTGTGGCCAGTGTGGTCGAGGCCATTGATGCAGCTATTTCATGTAAGGACGTTTCTATTCCCTATAATTAAATTATTATAATTTAATTATTATTTTAATACAATTACTAATTAAATTTTTAATTCAAATGTTTAATTCACAGCCGCTGTCAAGGACTTCAATCTACTCGACGGTAACAATGGTGAGAAAGAGATCTATCTTCAAATGTAATGTTTTATGTTTTTACGGAAATCTAATGCTTTTTATTTATTTTAGACGTCACTCACCCCGATCCCCCGCTGATCGATCTCACTCAAGACAGCGAAGAAGAGTGTGTCCCCGGCACAAGCGGCGGTGATTCCACATCGGCTAACAGTCTCACTCAAGACAGGGAAAAAGAGCGTGTCCCCAGCACAAGCGACGGTGATTCCACACCGGCTAACAGTCTCACTCAAGACAGCGTTGCTAATTCTACCACCCCGTCCAATGGTGTAAGCGATGCTAATTCCACCACCGCTCAAGACTGCAAACATGACAACGGTCCTAATTCTTCTTCAGACAACTTCGATGACCAGACAGTTCCTGACTCTACAGAATTAGAACCACCGAGAAAAAAAACTAAAAAGAGTCATCACACAGCCCCTCCAAACACGCCCGTCAGTTTTTATGGTAAGGCTATCACATGATTAATATTTAATCTGAAATAATACACTATCATTATGGTTGATTGTTTATTTTTCTCCCATCAGGACATGATTCAGACCATGACGCTGATGACGAATCCGACGACGTGACTATCTGCGGGGAGCCTCAACTCAACGGTTTGGAACGGAACTCTTGGACGCCATCGACCTCAAATGCCGGTCATACACCATACCACTTTCCGCAGGAAGAGCGAGAGATCGATGTTGAAGAACTAGGACTGAACCCCCAACCGATCGATGTCGCCGATAACATACGCCGATGCGTATGGCCGTTAATACTGCTGATCTGCAAACATTGTGTTTAGAAATACGCCGCTATCGTGACGAGAGTGCATTGGCGAACGCTAGATTAATTGAGGAACTAATACATAATCGTGGGTTAATAGAAGCGACGTACGCGGATCTTTGCACATTCCGCTTAGAGATGCGTAGCAGATTTGATATCCAAGATCGTTTTATTATGGATATGTACAATGAACTAATTTACCGTTTCCATAACCATAGGTAAAATGATAGTCATCATAGATACAATGTCTCAGGAAATGTAATACGCTGCTTAAGAATCATTTTATATTCTGTTTGTTTTTATA